TTATTTTATAGCATTAGTCTGGTTCCTGGGGCATGATGTTTCTACCTCATTAACTGGGATTGAGTGTGCAGTACAAAGTGAGAGATTCACTGCAGTATTTAGTCACCTATTTGATGATCTGTTCTTTGCTAGAATCTTAGAATAGCAAGAACAGCATGCCAAAAATTACTGACTGTAGGTTACTTGATCCAAAGAACTACCCACTTCTTGTTCAGTCCATTTTTTTTCTTTGTGTGAAACATGCATGGTGTACAAGTTAGTGTTTTAACCACTTTCAAATATACAGTTCAGTTAAATCCATTTGTTCTTTTTTGGGGGTTACTGGGGATCGAATTTGGGTCGTTGTGATTGCGAGGCAGGCACCAGAACCACTGAGCTAAATCCATTTGTTCTTAATTTACTCTTGCTTTTTTTCCCTCCATCACTGTAGTAAGCTAAATGAGTTTTTACTTCTTGCAAGTATACACTTCAAAATCTTTCTATGAATCACTTTTCCCTTGGAATCATAAAATTTTGGAAGAGGAATGGACTGAGAGTAAGCCAATCCTTTGGACCAGTAAAGTAGCCTCAGAGAATTCCATCTCCTGCCAGATCATAAGGCATGTTTGAGACAAAGCTGGATCAGTTCTCAGTATTCTTTTCCATGTTTTGTTGTTGTTGTTGCTGTTTATTTTTTCTTTGTTTTAGTTGTCCATGAAACTTGAGCCTTTCTGCTTCTGCCTGTTCATGCTCCATTATTATTTTTTTTCTCTTTTGAGAATGTTTTCCTTCTTATTTAGGGTCTTTCAGGGTAAGACCTGCATTTGTCTATGCTCACTAAATGCTCAGTGAGTATTTTATTATTAAGTTAAGTTATTTTATTCTTCTTTCCTTATTTTAGAGCAATGTGTTCTATTAAGCCTTAAAGCAATCCAGAAATTTGGTACACTGGCAAAATATTTATTGTTTGTTTGTTGGCATAAACATTAGTTCTGCACCAAGCCTACTAATCTTACCTGTCATTACCCTAATAACTTCTTTGTTTCAGAATTTTTAGAAAAGAAGGAACAGAAGTCAGATGTTACCCCAAGATTTTACACATCAGTTATTAGGAGATTGGCTCCAAGCATGATTAAGATATAGTGTATATAGAAGTAAATGAGATTGTGTTTGAGAAAAAGATTGCCAGGAAATGTTTTTATTAATCCCTGGGAAATAACTATAACCATCATTCATTCCATCTTTTTATTTTTGAAACATTTTGTCACACTCACATACTATAGCACTTCGTATCCCCTATATATGTTTTTGTTGATGCACCCACTGAAAGGCCATCTTCCTTGTGAGTCGCTTGCTCTACATATGAAATTCAAACATGCTGGTGAAATGAAAGTATGTCTTCGTTTTTGATTAATCATGAAATTAAGCCAAAGGTGATAAGTAGAACTAGACTTTATGACAGGAAGAGAAAGTAAGTGTAGTTTCTTAATTAGCAAATTGTCTTTTTCCCACTTAGGCAAAATAAGTGCTTACTACTTGCCCAGTCTAACCTGTGATCCACAATTCCTGTATACCGTTATCTGATTTGAGTCACCTCTGTTTGTTAGTGGCTTTTTCTGCTCTTCTTTTCTCTTACAGTAGCAGTGCTAAAAGCAATTCAATAGCTCAGTCATTTAAAGATTTTAGCCATGGTTCTCCTTACTAATAGGCTTACTTTCTTACTAGAGATTGCTTCCTACTTCATCCTTTTCATTGGCTTCATTAATGCGATTTCCTTCTCTATGTGGAGCTATTAAATTATTGGTAGTATTTAGTAAAGTTTTCTCACCCTATTTTAATTTTAATGTACTGATTTTTTTTCCACTTCTTCTGAAACTGTATTGCTTCCTACATTTGGATTTCAGCATTTTCCTTTTTAAGGAGATTGTAATTTTAATTACATTTGGCCTAGTTCCCCACTGTCAGTGCTTATACCATATGGAAATTCCCTAGGATAATAGTCATGGTTTCTTCCCATCTTATTAGCTTACTGTTTTCCTTTCTTCCTCCTACAGCTTCTCACCTTCTCTATCTGGAAGTTTAAGTGACCTATGTAAAGTATATAAGTGTTCCATTTTAGCATACATATATAACATTTATAACGTATACCCTGCCTTCATCCCAGAGGGATAGGAGGTGGCTTATGATAAAGAAAAAAGTTCACACATCCAACTGTACTGTTAAAAATAGCCAGAAAGGAAAACGAGAAATTGTTTAAAGGAATTGGTAATCAAACATAAGAAAAAATTCCTTTGAAAAATGAAAGAAGAACATAACCTTTTAATTATGTAACAGCTTTGCTATTCTACGCTAGTAATGAAAGAAGATTATAATTGTGGTCTGGAAATATTTTTGTAGAATGACAGAATTACTGATGTGGTTTCTCACTTTTTCCCCCAGAAATTTTGTTCTAAAACAGAAAATTAAATTTTTTTTTTCAGTCTCCAGTTACCATTGCTAACCTTTTTCACTAGACTTTCTCATTCAGATTTACCACTAACAGCTACCATTTATTGATCACCTGCCACATAGCAGACATTCAGCTAGGAATTGGATACAGATTATCTCATTTAGTCTTCATCATTAAGCTGTGAGATAGATGGCATTACTCTGTGGTAGAGATGAAGAGGGAACAGACTCTGAGGAGGTAATTGGATCAAAGTTGAACAGGTAGTAAGTGATAAGAGTTTGAATCCAGGCTTTACTGAATACTAAGTCCATTCTTTTTCTATTATTCTGTGATGTTTCCTATTAAAGAAATGTATTAGAAAGTTTGTTAGTCCATCTTCCATTACTGTAACAAATACCTGGGCTAATAAATTTATTTGACTCCGTTTTGGGGGTTTCAGAACATGATTAGTTGGGCCCATTGCTTTTGGTTGAAATGACACATTGTGGTAAAAGCACTTTATAGAGCAAAAACACTTGCTTCATGGCTGGGAAGTCAAAGAGAGGAAAAGGATGGGACTAGGGTTCCACAGAGCTCTATAAGGGCATCTGCCCACTATCCTGAACACCTCCCACTAGATCTACCTCTTTTGTGGGGGCTACTAAGGATCAAACTTGGGACCTTGCACTTGAAAAGCAGGCAGCTGAACAACTGAGCTAAATCCCCAGCCCTAGATCTACCTTTTAAAGGTTTTCCTTCCTCCTAATAACATCATGGACTGGGGACCAAAGCTTTAAGACAGGGACATTTGGGGTACATTCCAGATCCAAACTACAGCAGAAAATTAGCTATTAAAATCTCCTAATATTTATCTTTCCTTCTAGGTTTTGCTCAGTGCAGGGTTTCCTACTTGGGGATCAAGCATATTTTTAAAATGGTATGCTTGTTTGGTTTTCACATATTGGGTTGAAATTCTGAAGTGGGACTGATTGCCCTACACTGTCTTTGAAGGAGTCAGGAGGAGGAGAGGCAACAGGGGAGTGTAAACGAGTAAGTACTAACCTGAACCGTCTTTGTGCTGACCCTAGTGCTTCAAGTTAGCTGTTGCTTTGAGGCAGAAGAGACAATTACATTTATCAAGAAGTGTAATTGTATTATGTCATGTAATTCTCACACCAGCCTCTGTGTAAGTGGGTTTAGCCTCAACTTGTAGATGGATAAACTGAAGCATAGAGCATTAAGCAAGTTTGTGTAAGGTCACACAAGTAGAAAATGGAGTCATCAGTAATCTGTTACTAACACAGATTTACCTGTGTTGTAGCCCTATAGTCTCACAAAGTGTATTATAAGAAGCATCTACTTATTGTTTGCTTTAAATGTACCAATAAACTTAATGGGGGAAAAAAGAAGCATCTACTGACTAGAGCTATACTTTCTTCTCCTCACCGTTCTTACATGCACAATGAAAGTAGAAGGGTTGTTTATAAAAAAGCGTTTGGCTTTTTAGGTTAAGTATACTTGAGGGTGAAATACTATTCCCTGAGGAAATGTGTGTTAGTATAGTATTTACTACTGCAGCCTGAGAGTCAGTAGCACTCTTCAGATAAGGACTACTGTGATAGCTGGCTATGATCAATTAAACAGTGGTAATCTCCATATTTTTAGCCACTTTATTTCTTAGCCATTCACCCTTTAAATGACTACTTTGCACAGCATTTCTTAACCTCAGTCTTTTCCCCCAATCCAATCAGTGTATCAGTTGTGATTCACCTTATTGTAGGTTCTGATGCCCAGGAACCTGAGATTGAGCATAGGCTTGTATTGCTTTATTTTGGTCAGCACATAGTTGATTTATCAAGCATAATGTGGCCTTGAAGTATCTACCATTTCTCTCTGCATGACCTTTGCAGTATATAAAGCGAGCTCCTCATTTACTCTTCTTCATGCTCCAGGATTAAGAGCATGGCAGTGCTTCATGATGTAATTTTTTGGCTTGTATACAGCTTCATTGCAAGGAGGAAACAAAAGTGTTGTGTGCACTGACATGATAATGATTCCAAACCAGCATACCTATTGTTCTTCGGATTATTTTTTTTCTTTTATCATCTGCTGTTGTTCATTTAACAGAATCCCTGTAAGCAAATGAAAGTGAAGAAACCTGGGGTTGAGTCTATGCTCTGATCTCTACTGGTTTCTGTGGCCTTAGATGATCTATTAACATCTCTGCGCCTCAGTTTCCTCATCATGAGAATTAGAGATAATGTTTAAGTACCCAGTATAGAGGCTGGCACAGAGCAGATTTCAGTGTAGAGAAGCTGCCGTTATTATTATTAATAATAAAATGCAGAGACAATCTTATGATCTAAAAGCTTGGGACCTGTTTTGTTATAGTAGTAAATAGTATTTCCCTGTGGACTTCTTTGTGCTGCTCATATGCAATCCAAGGAAAACAGTGGAATAGTGTTCACAATAAGGAAAGATAGCTCTTTGTTCCCCTCAACAGACAAAAGAAACTCATTATTGTATCAAGTAGTGACTGTTGCTATTGAAGTGGTTTATTTGTATGTGCTTTTTTTTTCTGTTTCTTTCCTAGGGATTTATTTGTGGCTTTTCAGTAGCAACAGGTGCAGCAGCAAGACTAGTGTCAGGATACGACAGCTATGGAAATATCTGTGGGCAGAAAAATGCAAAGTTGGAAGCAATACCAAACAGTGGCATGGACCACACCCACCAGAAGTGAGTAGACTGTTGCTGAATGTTAACCAGTATGGAAACTTTGAAGGAGGCACAGAGAAAATTCTGCTTTCCTTACTGCTTTAAAGATAATATTTACTGATTATTTTTATATGACTTCTTTTGGTGTTTTTTATTTGTTTTTAAAACTGTATACTTGAATCTTTCCTATTTTCTTTGAACACATACATCCTCCAGGAAACAAAATTAGCTGCCATCTTAAATGGGCTACTGGGCAAATGCTTGATTTGGGAAGATTACTTTTGTGCTCTGTTTTCCCATTAAGCTTCAGGTGTGCACTAAATTTTAACCCAGAAACTTAATATAATATTTTCTTCCTAAGATTATATGTGATGGAAGACAGAGGGATAATAATGGATATTGGAACATTAAAGTTACAAATTAACATTATTTAAAAGTACACATCAAGTTGAACGTGGTGGCGCATGCCTGTAATCCCAGCACTTGGGAGGCTGAGGCAGGAGGATCGCTGTGAGTTCAAGACCAGCCTGAGCTACATAGTGAGTTCCAGGTCAGTCTCAACTACACAGTCAGACCCTGTCTCAAAAAAAACAAACAAACAAACAAACAAACAAACAAAATATGTATGTACACATCAATTTCTAGTTTTATAGAAGTTATGTTTTCTTTGTCAGACTGGAAAATTTGTATGGGGTTCTCAATATTCATCTTTTGGATTCCATGAAATTCCTAACTAAATTGCTTTTTTCTTCGAGAGAGCTATTATTTAATTTTTAATGTCTGTAGAGGAAATATATTTAATATGTTTTACAATATATTTTATGTATGATGCCATTGTAATTGTTGAAATTGCATATTCATACTCCATCAAACTTTGAATATTTTAAATACCAAACCAGGTCTTCAGAATTAACAAAATTAACTTTTAAGGTAACAGTAATATAATTCATAGGTAAAAGCTAAAGAGATGAAAACATTTTCAGATATCAAGCATTTTCCAGGGAGGCAATTTATAATGCTCTGTTTATTACTTTATAAATATATTGGTTAAACCAGCCTCTGTGAGATTAACTTATTTCACAAGCTTAAAAGAAATTCAAATAAATATTCTTTCCTTTAATAATGAAGAAATAATGCATTTCGAGTAAACAAAATAATAATAATGAATATATGTGTAGTATGCCATAGTTCAGAAGCATATACCACCCTACGAGGGAGGTGTAACAGAGGCTCAGAGAGATGGGACTTTCCCAAATTCACATGCCTTGTGGTACCAGAACATCCAAGACAAACTCCTAGCTTCTCTCTTGATATGCACCTACATCCCTCCAGAGAAGGGAAAATTGGATGTTTAGCAATTTGGAGGATTGTTTCACTTACTTTCCTTTATGATTGTCTTATGAAATTAACACAGATCTTACATTTTATGTTATTTCTTGTATCAAGACTATACATACCTTTTTTTGTTTACTCTTTATTTTCAAATAGTTTTGGACTTAGAAGTTGCAAACATAATAGAATTCTGTATATGTATTTTTCTTTTTTTTAGTTAGCATCTATGCCTCAAAATATTAACTTTCATGCTATTGAAATATTATTTACAAAATTGAGATATGAGAAATAAGGGTTATATTCCTTCAGGTCCACTGATCACATACATATATTGCAATCATTTTTATGGTTTTCTTTATAACTTGCTAATGACTTCAAGTATATCCTCATCTTAAGGTTTGTGTAAGTGCCTCTCTTGACATTTAACCTTATGTGGTTCAGGCCAGGGAAGCAATTTCTTGGATTATTCTATGCATACTCAGGCCTCTTACAAGAAGAACTGCACATTATTCTGAGAGAATGGTTATTTTTCTCTGACTGCTTAGCCTAATTGAAAGCCATTCTTGTATAAAGAAAATACTTTTCCAGGTACAGCTATTCTTTATGTTTAAAAATTATTCGGACCTCTACTTTTTTGCCTTATAAACTTTTTAGGGCTAATCCATTTGCATATAAATGGTAATTATTTTCAATTTTATATTTTTGAACATACTTTTTCAGGTAAGTCTATGTTTGGATTTGGATGGATGCAGTCTTTGTGATTTTTATTTTTATTTCATCTTTTTTCTCTTATCAAATACATGGCTTTCGTCTGCATTTCTCTGTACTTCTTTGGCTTAATTATGAACTCTAGGCCCACCTATAGCAATAGAGTTTTTATACCTGTTTTGTCTGCTGTTACTTCAACCTGATTTTGATCGTTGTCTCAAAGTCCTTATCTTCAGCGCTATTACAGTACTTATTTGGATTTCCATTTATATTTGTTGAATAAGTCAGTAAATGAATACTCTAATCTTGGGTGAAACCAATTCCCTTTTTCCTTCATGAATATTATTTCCTGTATTATAAAAAATAAAACAAAACTCCTTCTATTCTTCAAATAGCCAAATTCTCTTCATTCTGCAGCTCTCAGCATAATTGTTCTTCCCATAGAGGTTTTCTTTGATTTCACAGTTTAAACAAGATACTTAAAAGTACTTTCTCATTGTGTCCTATAAGATATGTGATTATACATTTATGTTTCGATAATCTGTACAATGTATGTTTCTCAGTTTGCGGATGGAGCTCAGAGATAGAGCTCTTGCTTAGCATGTGCTAGTCGCTGGGTTCAGTCCGCAGCACTGGGGTAGGAGGAAAAAGAAAGTGTATCTCTCCTAAGAGAAACAGTGAAGCCTGTTTTATTTACTGCCATATCTCCAGGGCCCACCTCAATACCTGGAACATTATAGGTACTCATTCATGAATAGGTAAATAAATTTATTTCAGGAATGTATTTATGATGTATAAATTAGAATTGAGGACCTGAATATTTTATGATTATTAATACATATTGTTGAATGGATTTCCAGAAAGATTTTTCCATTTATATTCCCACCATGTCTGAGATTGCTGTATCTTTGTTAGTATTATTAGTATTTTTTTCACTAATTTGATAGATCATAGAATGGTGCCTTATAGTTTTAATTTTCTTTTTTCTTTTTTTTTTGCATATTGAGATATACTCTTTTTTTTTTTTTTTTTCCTCATTGAGTTTATTGGTGCATTTTAGGTATATAGTACAGTTACATTCATTATTGGGATCTTGTACCTTTACATGACAGGTCTTGGTTCTCATTTTTTCCCTTGTCCCTGCCCCCCCCCATATACAAACATTTTATTTCCTTTTTTTCTTTTTCATTTTCTCCTATTTTTTAGTTTTAATTTTCATGTCTTTGGTTATTAATGAGTGTGAACCTTTTTTTCCCTACATGCTAGCCTCTCAGGAAGACTGTTGTGCTAGCATGTCTATTCTTGGTCTTCTTATCTCTCCATCCTTTTACTGTGATAAGATTAAATTCTTTAAAACAGGGCTTTTCTTTTGTTACCTCCCTGTTCCAGAATCTTTCCTTTTGTGCTGCTGTCTATAGCAGTGATGGTGAACCTTTTAGAGGTTAAGTGATACAAACAGCCCGTTTCAGCATGCATGCTGTAGGTTTGCCACTATTGGTCTGTAGTCTTAAAGATGATCTCACTCAGCGCCTGCGATTTTAGGCCTTCCTCAGTCTATACTCCTCACACCTACCTAGTCCTCTTTCACTGTTCCTCAGGGTGGTATTATTATTATTGTTTATGAAATTCAATTTATTTTATCTCTGTGTTATTCCTTCTGCACATCTGCCAGTCTGAATCTTTGAAGCACTTAAAAGGGGTCTCATAACTAACCTTTTTATGAAATGTTTCAAAACTAACCTTATCCCATAGTGAACTCTCTTACTTTGATTACCTAAACTTTCCCACTTTATGCTCATTGTTCATTTTACTCTCTGATAATACTGTGTTTCTCATCTGTCTGTGTTAGTTATTGTTTGCTAGGTAACAATAGTACCATAAACCTTGTGGCTTACCAGGAGATGGCATTTATCAGTTTTGTTCCCATGGGTCAGGAATCTGAATGTGGCTTGCCTGGGTCTTCAGCTTCAGAGCCTCTGCCCAAGATGCATACCAGGTGCAGGAGGGGATTGGGATTATTTCTGAGGTTTGGTGGGTGAAAGTTCCTCTTTCAGGCTTGTGTGGTTGTTGGCAGCATGTAGTTCCCTAAGGATTGTTGGACTGAGAGCATGAGCTTTATGCTGGCTGCTGCCAGAGGCCACCCTCACTGCCAGCCCCATGAGCCTTTCCACATGGTAATTTGAAGTCACCAAAGCCAACATATGAGAGGATCAGTAGAGAATCTGATAGAAACATGGAAGTTGCATTCCTACAATTGTAATCACATTTGTAGGTCCCACCCAAACTCAAGGAAAGAAGTTTACACAAGGCTGTGGACACTGAAAGCAGGGAGAACAGAGGCGTCTTACAGTCTGTGTGCCCTCTGCCTAATTCCATCTCCTGGAAACACCGTATTTTCTCTAAGTCCTGAGTTTGAGCACCAGCAGCTCCTTAATAAGGACATTTTAAATTATAATAAGGAGAGGAAGAAAGAAATGGGAGGGAGAACACTTTTTTAACCAGAACTATTTTAACCAGAATGTTAAAGATGCCAATATGACTATAAGAATTCCATTAGTAGTAAAGAAAAAGTGTTTTATTTCCTTGTATTACTCTATTGTAATGTGTTCTTTTTCTCCATGTAATATTTTTGAACTGATAGTATATTTCATGTAGTAATAAGGGTACATACGATAATGATAGTATTTTAATGCGATATTCAAAAGTCTCAATTTCAGATATATTAAGTTGATATTTAAGTTGTCCACTTGAGACATTCAAAACTTTTCTGCATAGATACAAAGCTATAACTAAGGTTCTAAGGCTGAGTCAACTCAGAAATGCTCATTTATCTTAGAACCAAGAAGTGCAAAAGATTAAAAAAATTTATAGATTATTTAATATACAACCTCTTAAAGCATTGTATAACATATTTACAAGTGCCAACTAGAACCCCAAAAGGAGAATGACTTGATTGATAGCTGAGCTATGGTGGTAATAAT